CATGCTGGCTGGGGAATTCTGGGAGTTGAAGTCCACACGTCTTAAAGTCTCCCAAGGTTGAGAAACACTGATCCTGAGCTGGCCTCCTACTATTCATAGATTGTATTTTTTCCTAAGATCCTGGAAGCTTGGAAGATAGCGCCTTCTTGATTCTTCCCTGTTCTATGCGCCCATCCATGCACTCATCCACCAAGTTTGTCAAGCATTAGACTTGCACATTTTAGTTTGCTTGGCCAACAATCTACAATTCTGCAATTGTACCTTGATCCAAGTTTATCACGCTATCCTCTAGAGCAGTGTTTCTCAAACTTGGCCAGTTTAAGATGGGTGGACTTCAATCCCAGAATTCCCCATGGCTGGCTGAGGAATTCTGGGAGTTGAAATCCACCCGTCTTAAAGTTGCCAAGATTGAGAAACACTACTCTAGAGTGAAACAAGTAGCTTGGGAAGTTTATTCCAGCATTCCAGGACCTTCTTCTGTGTCGATCAGCCCAAACGCTCCTGATCCAAAATTACTTCAAGGTCCGCCTTTCTGACCACCTCAGCTGCACAACCCAATTATCTGGCACAGTGAATATATGAGTGCTTTTTTTCAAGAACAGGGAGAGAGTGGGACCCAACTATTTTAATATGCAAGCATTTAAACTCTCAGGGTTTTTATGTAAAAAATACTTCTCCATCCTCAGCCTACAAACAAAAGAATTATGCTCTCACAAAGTCAAAAATGACTAAAGGGCTTGTATCCTTGAGATGAATGGTTCTTTTTTTGACTCCAAGAACCATGCAATGCAGGATAGGTAATAAATTCCAAAGTCTGATGATCCTAGACAAAAATAACCAATATTTTTTCCCAAAGGGAGTTGGAGTGGGGAAAAATATGGGGATCAATCCTACCAATTCCACTTTTCTTGTTTGGTCAATATTTTTTTCTTTTTTGCTAAGTGTCACAGAACAAGCAGAGCAATATTTGTATTTCTGTTATGGTTTCCATCTACAGCCTGATTTATTTCTAGTATTTTTGCACTGCCAGTTTATCAAACTCTAGAGCAGTGTTTTCAGACTGGGCAACTATAAGAGGGGTGGACTTCAACTCCCAGAATTCCCCAGCCAGGGTTGGAATCCACCCCTCTTAAAGTTGCCCAGTTTGAAAAACACTGCTCTAGACAGTGTAGATCAGACAATCTTGTGCCCTAAAAGCTGGCAAGAAAGTTTTAAACATTTCTCTTCACTGGACCTTTGAAGCAAAAAACCCTTGGGAAGTGGAGCAGGACAGACGTGGGTCACCCCAAATGTGGAACTGAATTTGTGACTAAACAGGCAAACAATGTTGGGCTTTTCTTCCCATCGTTTCACTCCTAGGACTTTCCTTTAAATGTCAGCTCTGTGCGCTGAAGCACAATCGGGCTGGGAACCCAACTTGAACAGCGATCTGAGGGTTCAGCCTGTCGTAGCAAACACAGAAAACAAAGCTATGGATAAGCGTTTCATCCAGTTGCAGCTCTCGCTGCTGCTGTCCCTCGGTCTTAAGAATCGTTTGGGTCACCTGCACTCGGACAAGGAGATTCACTCCAACACGACCAAGCCTTGCAAGGCAGCGCAGAAAGACCCAAGGTTCACCCCAGGCTCACTTCATCTTCCTACCTTGGTCAAACGGTGTGAACTGGAAATCGGGCAGGTATCTCTTCAGCTTGGCGTTGCTGGCTGTTTTCTTGAACTGACCATCTGACTTGGATTCGTCAAACTTGAAGTAGGGGATGAGGTTAAAGAAAAGGACCCTAAGAAAAATCTTAAGACAGAGTTTACGAAAGACAGTCCATGTTTAGGAATAAATATTGCATCCAGAGCAACCTTGGGGTGGGGGAAATGCAGGTCTATTGCAACTGAGCTAGCTTTTGCTGGATTCATACAACACGTCAGGCTGAAATGGGGTTAGAGGGACTCTGGTGAGGGTGTGCATGTGTGTGTGAACCAGGCCACTGGGTTAATACACAATATGGTTCATTTCACTGGCCACCGCATGTTACACAAACAGAGAAATCGACTTTTAATAACCCAGGTTTAACAAGTTATGGGGACCCAACAATAAAGCTGATGGGGTTAAATTTGTATATGTTTCTATTCTGCCCTTTGAGCAGACTGGCCTACAATGATGCAGAAGCACAATATAATTGGCAAACAAGGGCGATAAGGAAAATGAAATCAAGCTTCCCTCGATGCTGGACGATGAGGGTTCTACTCATCCACATCTAACAGGTGCCACTTTGGGAAAGGCAGAGATAAAATCTGGGGGGGAACAAACAGAGATAACTCGAAGGGTTTACAAAACAGATTTTTATGTGTGTTGCCTTTCGGTTCTCCCAGGAAGTGATGGGACCCATCCCTACCTGTCCCAGACTGGAAGGGTGGACATCCCTGTCTCATGATCAGCTGGGTAGTGCAGGTTAAGAGCAGAGGTAGCCACCTTGCAGGGTTGTGGTTCACAGAGAAGATGGGAGCTCTTAGGAGTAATGTGATAGACACATAAAGAGGGAACCTACAGCTTACAGCAGTGTTTCCCAATCTTGAGAACTTTCAGATGGGTGGACTTCAACTCTTGCAAGGTGGCTGGGGAATTCTGGGAGTTGAAGTCCACCCATCTGAAAGTTGCCAAGTTGGCTGGGGAATGCTGGGAGTTGAAGTCTACACATTTGAAAGTTTCCAAGTTGGCTGGGAATGCTGGGAGTTGAAGTCTACACATCTGAAAGTTCTCAAGGTTGGAAAACAGTCTTACAGGGACAGACAAATGTAATATCTAACCAACAAGGATTCCATGCTTGTGGCTCTCTGTAGCAGAGCCACAACCATTTTATGGAGCAGTAAACCTTTTAAGGTAGAATGATCGGTATAGAATGGAGTTGGGTACAAATTACAAACTGCTCTCTCTCAAAGTTTCCTGTATGTTCACGAGCTTTTGTAGATTTTTGGCCATGTTTCATTTCTTCATTTTTTTTTTAAACCCATATACCCACAAAGTAATAAAAAAAATTAAAAATGGGAGAAATGGCAACATGACACGATGGTGCCTGGTGTTTGCAAACAGACTGGAGAGGACAATATTGGCTACGACTGGTGGGGCTTAATGTTTTTACACAATTTCCCCAGAAAAACAAACCCTTGAAGAATAAATGGCAAATTTTGAAGGTAATTACGAAAATGGCCCAAAATGGAAAGGATCTGTAACAGCTCTCCACTCTTCTAGGAAAATGTATGGGCTTAGACACCTTTGTAGAACAAGGGGAGAACATAAAAAAAGGGGGAGAACAACATATATACAGGCAGAGGTATCTGGGGAGAGGTGTCAAAAAAGTCAAGATGGTGGCTGTGACCATGGCCACTTTTTTTATCCTCTTGCAAACACCCTTGGATGAAGTACTGTAGAAAGAGGTTGAGTTTTTACCCTTGGAAATTATTTACAAAGGATACTAGGAGTTCTCCCTTGAAATCCATAGCCTTTGCAATGCATTCAGCTGCCTCCCGTATAGACACCTCTTCTTCTTCTCCCACTGAGCCAACAGAAGCAAAAGAAGACTGTGAGACCAGCTTCTGAGATGCTCCACCATTCCTTGTATCCATCCTGTTATCGAGATGACCACCTCCCTCCCTTGCCCCTGGACCTCCTTGGGAAGGGAAGGGAAGGGAAGGGAAGGGAAGGGAAGGGAAGGGAAGGGAAGGGAAGGG